GCCTCTAGCTGTTTCCGTAACAATGTGAATTAGCCATTCTAAAAAGAACACAGATTTGGAAACGCTTAAACCTTGAGAAAGAAGCACAATACGTATCTTCTCTAAAATAGCAATTCGGGCTCAATCACACTTGCAAGTTTTTTGCAGGGCCAGACGTGGTGCCAGGTTTCGAGATCCATCATCCACCCCTTTCCAGTCTACGGAGTAGCTGGTTCATTTTACACATTAACTCCACCCTCCCCCCCTGCCCTGCCACCCCATAAAGATCTTTCTATGAGAACTAAAAATCAGTCATTTTGTTAAAGTCATGTAATCACCCTATGATTTCCATTTATAAGAAAATCTCCAAACAACTGCAGATTGATATAGAAAAACAATTTCAGGCCCAGCCACGGTGCCCTACAGTGCTGAGACACTGTGTTCTGCAGCCTGGAACCGCATGAGAGACCCAGGTTCCATTCCTAGTCTAATCTAAAAGCCAGGTGTGATAGCCCTTGCCTGTGTTCTGAGGCAAGAGGATTGCGAGCTCAAGGTTTGCCTGAAACCCAACCAGATGTAACGGCATGTGCCTGTCTTCTGAGCTGGGAGACTGAGGCAGGAGGATCACAACACGACAAGATCGTATCTTAAACAAGGAAAGAGATGTTGGTAAAAAAAAATTAAAAATAAAAAAAATAACTTATATATGGGCCAGAAGATGATATGGTGGTTAAGGCACTGGATTTCCACATGGCTGACCGTGGTTCAAATCCCTGACGTGGCGGCTTGCTTTCTCACTCCTCCTGCTCTCTGTCTCTCTTTCTCTCTATATATATCTGGTCAAATTAAAAATAGTAGTAATAAATAAAATTAAATAAATAATTCTTATAAAATAAAAACAGTGGAACTGGCAGATGCTGTAATGGTTATGTCGCTGAACTCCCACATAATTGACTGCAGTTCGTGTCTCAGAACCAGCAGCTTGAAACTCATGCCGGGTACATGTGAGTGTGTGCCCACAATCCTGAGAAAAGCATAGAGAAGGGATTACGGCATGGCCATCCTCCCAGGGGGTGATTTCTCACTTTCTGTCTCTCGGTCTCTACAGCGAGTGCACACTCCCTATAGTAAAAATCTCTCTTTAAAAAAAAAAAAAAGATAGATTTCCTTTAAACTTGGAAATTCTAAAAGTTAGTGAAAGAAGGCAGAAGGGGCAATTCTCAGAAGAATCACAACACGAAAAATTTTATTTTGTTTTGATTTGTTTTTTAATTATAACTTTCTCCCTGATTCTAACGTCAGTTATTTAAAGCAAGCAAGCATAGAGATTCCTAGATGATGACAAATTAGCTATCATTTTACTGATAGGAAAACAAAAGCCCAGAAAAATCAACTGATTTATGTACAGTCACATAATTGTAGTGTGATATGAGACAACATTGCCTATTTCTTGGTGAAAGTATTGCAGAAAACAAGCAAAGTTCTGGTGAAGTTATTACTCTCTGCCATTTTTAAGGCTGTGATTGAGATGTCATGGAATTGTTAAAAAAAGCATACAAAATAAGAACAAAATTTTAAAACCTTGTTTGCATGACGTTTGTTAGATTTCAATATAAACTTTAAAGATCGTATGATAGAAAATGCCCCTTCTTTTCATCTAGTCAAACACTATAGAAGTATACATTTTCAATTTTGCCTGAACAAACTGTTGGTCTTGAATAATTCTGTAGCTAGATTATACCTCTTCTGTTTTGTTCATCTTGAGTAATGTGCGAATAATGGGATCCTTAGCGATTTTAAATTTGCTGTGTTTTTGTCCTACAAGAAGTAGGGGGGAGGGGGACAAGAAAAATGTCCTTTAAAGAGATACCATTAATTCAGAAACTAAATATGTATTGTGTTACCAGAGAAAATGTCGCTGCCCAACATTTTTGTGTTTTCTATTTTGAGGACCTGTCTCATGAGCTCACAAAGTGCCTGATAAACGTTCTCACTAATCTTGCAATCATTTTACCTAAGACGGAATTATGAATTTAATGACTCTGAATTATTACAGAATATTGAAATTGTCGGTAATGATATATTTTTAAGACTGAAATAAAAAGAAAACCACGATCACAAATGTTGGATGAGCTAGGCACAAACTATTGAATTTTCAGAAGTCATTTCCACTGTGTGGAGAATTCATTTTGGAAGTAGAGAGGTTTTGTGTTATATCTTTGCTCTGCTGTTTGCAAGCTCTGCTGCTTTGTGCAAAGTGTAAGTGATTGAATTATGGATATTAGCTGAGATTATATATGTGACTCACCTTGTACACAGCATGAAATCCAGTTGAGAGTTTAATTTAATGTGAATAAAAGGTATATACGAATAAAAGGTACACACAAAAAGGGACATGTGAATAAAAGGTACCTGTGAATACTTGGACCAACAGTTATTGGAATGGCTATGTTGCTGGACTCCCGTGTAGTCGACTGTGGTTCAAGTCCTGAACCCGGTGGCTTAAATTCACACCAGGCGAGTGTGTGTGGATGCCCAAGATCCCGAGAGAAGAATGGAGGAGAAGGGATGTGGTATGACCATTACCCCTGGGGGGTGATTTCTCGCTTTCTGTCTGTCTGTCTCTCTCTGTCTTTCGGGCGAGTGCATGCGCCCTATAGTAAAAATCTCTCAAAATAAATAAATAAATAAAAAGGTACCTATGAATAAAAGGTACACACAAAAACGTGTAGAAACTTTCCCCATGACCTGATAACTTTCACAAACCTCATCATCAATATGCTCATTACCTGCTCTTCTTTGTATTGAAGAGTCACCCGTAGCACCCTGCGTTAATGCGCTGGGTTTATAAAGGGGTGCTAGTTCCCAGGAAGCTTCTAACTGGGCCCACAGGCCACATGGGCCTTGGAAAGTTGGAGATGCAGAGCCAAGACTTAGTGGCATTGCTTGACTAGGGTGTCCATGGCTTTGGAGAAACCCAGTTGTGAAGTCACTGAAAACAGGATGGGGCTGATAAATAGTGAGCCGTGCAGCATGAGGGCCTCTTTCTACAAGCTGGGGTATCCGTGAGTTACAATACCCACCACCTGGAGGTGCTTACAACATTCTCATTGATGATGATTTTCAGTCTGACCACAGACACATTGATTTGCTGTGTAACCCTCTACTTAGTTTTAAATTCTTCTTGAAAAATAAAGATAATTCCATTTCACTTACCTCATGAGATATAATAGCTAATAAAGGTAAGGCATTCTGACCCCATAATGTTATAGAGACTGCACATAATATTATTAGTAGTCAGAATGTAATTACCTGAACTGGTGTTTTTCCAGCATGTAGAGCTAATGCTCATTCCTACGTGATGTGAAGAACTTCTTCCAAAGGCATTAATTATTGACATCAGCACGTAATTGGTGAATCTAGGAGCATACCAAGTTCCGGTTTAGGTATACTGATAAGTACCTTTTATTCACATTAAACTACTTCAGATGAAAGTACTTCATTCAATATTTATTGTTTTATTTATCCCCCAATTGCAGACATTTTGATAAATGGAGTAACAGTTTCTCGTGTCACTATGGCTGTGATGTGCATTTTAGTGTCTTCAGCTGCTGTAACTTAATAATTCATTTCACCACATCTATTTGTAAATCACAGAAGGTTTGTTTGATGGACAGAGTGCTGGGAGGAAATACTCCCCTTTTGTCTAGACAAATAACCTGTACTAGTGAGTAGGATACAATATCTACTGATTGTCCACACCCCCTGTTGATGGTTTCCATTTTCAGGTTATGACTCTTTTTTTTTATAGTAAAGTTTTTGCTATAGGGCATGTGCACTTGCCAGAAAGACAGAGCCAGAGAGACAGAAAGTGAGAAATCACCCCCTAGGGAGGATGGCCATGCCACCATCCCTTCTCTCCTCTGCTCCTTTCGGGATCTTGGGCATGCATGCATACACACCCGGTGTTAGTTTAAGCCACCGGGTCCAGGACGCGAACTGCGATCAACTGGGAGTCCAGCGACATAGCCATTATGCTAACTGCTGATCCCAGGGTATGACTCTTTAATTTTCCAGCACAGAAAGTCGCATATAAGTATGCTTAGCTTAATAAATAATGCCTTAAAATATTAAATAGTACTTCTTTTAGCTTTTTTACTAGGAAATCTAGTAGCTATTAGAAGCAAATTTCTAGGAAGTATACAGACTTTTAGGGCCTCATGTTGTTGAGTGAGTTAAACAGAATGAAGGAACATCAATATTGACTTCTAAAGAAGAGAAAGTGACCATGCTGTATATTTTGGTTGGCTAAGGCAGCTGGATCCCACATGGCTGATGGGATTCATGCAGTTTGAATCCCAGACTCGATGGCTTGAAAAGCATGCTGGGTACATGTGCATGTGTGTTCAAAATCCTGAAAGGAAGGAGAAATGGAGGGAAAGTGATTGCAGCATGACTACTGGGGACAGGTACCTTCTCACCTCCTAGTTCTTTGTCCCTCTCCAGTGGAAGTACGGAAGTGCACATTTTCTGGCAAATTAAAAGAAAAAAAAAAAGAGAGAGAGAGACTTTTTAAATTACAGTTCATTTTTGCCTTAGTGTATTTGGGCATATTTTTAGACAAATACACACAAGGTATTGAAACTTGGGTTTGAGAATCTCTCACTTCCCTGGCAGCAAACGTTGCAAATGGACTATTACGTGAGCCTCAAAAAGTTAACAGAAAACTTATTATGGAAACTATATGTGGATTAATTTGCTTTGTAATAATAAATTCATACTTTAGTTCCATTTTTTCCGTGAACTTTTTGAAGCCCCCTAGTTGTGCCATCTTAGAGATGAGAGCATCAGACCTTGAGGATTTACGGGGAGAATATTTCATTCTAACTATAACAGGACTGAGAGATCATTTAATGCATTACTACATTTAATTTGAAAATTTTAAAATGAGTTGACAGATACATTTTTCTGGTAATAGGATCTCACCCTGATCACCATACTTTTAATATTTTCTCTTTTAGAGACGCCCAAGCAGGTGGCCTGCGATGAAGTTTCGAAGAGGTTCTGGACATCCTGCCTATGCAGAAGTGGAACCAGTTGGAGAGAAAGAAGGTTTTATTGTATCTGAGCAGTGCTAAAATTTCTAGAACAGAACAGCACCAGTACTGGTTTACAGGTGTTAAAACTAAAATGTTGCCTATACCTTTAAGACAAACAAACACACAAACAAAGGAGACCTAAGCTGCTGTAGCCTGAAGGAGATGAGATTTCCGGACAAGCCCAGCCCAGGAAGGGTAAAAGAAAACCTAAAACTTGTCCCAGGTCCCATTTACACTGAACGTAGCATTCCCTCGTGGAATGACATCTGAGATCACGCGGATTCTCTCCTGTGGATTTATCAGAAGTATGACAAGGTCACAATGCTTTTGGCTTAGGTGCAGGGTTGCAAAGGGATCAAGGAAAAATTATAATAATAAAGCTTTAGTTCACGAGGGATCTATACCTTTGGTTCAAATTGTTCTTCTCTGCTGTCTCAAAAATAACTGTTCCAAAGCCTGAACACTTTCACTCAAAAGAGCAATGATGAGTGCTTCAAGATTGCTAAGAAAAGTGGTTCATGCAGGAGCAAAAACACACAGAAAATAAGAGATTTTCTGTCTTCCCAAAATAGATGTGTGGCAAAAGGATTGTGTTTTCCTGGTCCAGATCGATCTGCACCAACAAGTTCATTCCTATACAGGATAAATCTTGTATCTGTACAAGAGGTTCAAACGATGCCTGCCTCATCCTTGGTAATGAATGCCCTTTCTATGACCTGTGACAAAATTTCCAAACTTTTAACTGAGGATTAGGAAAGAGGGTGTGGTCCAGGAGGCTTTGTGTGCTCCTGCCTCGGAATAAAACATCTGACTTGTTTTAAGAAGCATTGCCTCCATTTTCCAACTGTGAAGTCCCCATGAAGCCACAGTTGCTCTTGGCTGATGAAAAACAAAAGGAAAGAGAATGAAGAGTTTCCTAATCGTTTTCGAGACAAAAATGTTAAGGGATTTTAAATATATAGTTTTTTGTTTCTGTTTTTTGCCATTTTGGCACTAGAGGCCCATTTCATTGTTTTGTCGATTCCTGTATCCCTGGTGATAAAAAGAATGAAAGAACCCTGCTAAAATCATACAGTAATTTTCTTTAAAGCACATAGTAGTTACATAAATATATATATAAATCTATTTTGTTTATAACTAACACAAGGCAGGCTCTTGTGACTCTAAGAGTGCATTTTGTCCTCAAGACAAAAGAAATGCAAGCTGCATCACTGCATTCCATAGAGTTGTAAAATAATCCTTGATATTAGAATATTTTTATGTCACTTAGCAAAAGTGGTTCAATTAGTTGCAGTGCCCATCATTTTCCTGCCTCTTTGATCCACTTTTTCATTCATATCAACCTCTTCCCTCTCTGGCTAAATAAAGCAGATGCAAAATCTCCTTAGAAGGAGCTATATCATTTGCCCTTTCATTGCAATCCAGATTTTGAAAATTCCCCATGAATGAAGAAAGGAAAGGCAATGCTTGAGGAGGAAGGTGGTTGATATGTATCGCGAGCTCCTAAAGTTCAATTCAGGTACTGCGCGTACAGTTCCGTCACCCTCACAGCCCATCACATATTCCCATTTTGTGCCAAGAAACTATTGGTTCTTGAAAGGTACAGTGCTCAACATTTGCAGATTCAGGTCTCACGAGGTGGAGATGTGTCATCAGCAGCACGTTACTGACCTGTTTTGCATCTGGTCACAATGTCTGCCTTGAACAGCATCCGTCTCCTAACAGACTATCACACTTGAGCATCGCCTTGGCCTGATGCAAATGAGTGCCATTTTCTATCGCATATATTTTGCTTGACTTTTTTAAGTCTCTGGTGAGAGTGGTAACTTTCTCCTTACCCACTTAGTAAATAATTGCAAAAAAGGGAAAAAAATTGAAAAGCAAGTTGATGGAAGGATGTGATGACAATCTCTGCTGTAGCTCCATTCAGTTTAGATGAAATAATCCAACGTATTTTGAGGGAGTAGGTTTGGTCACAGAAAAATAACCAAATGACTTGCCAGTGTAAACTGGTGCAACTGGTATTCTACAAATACACAAGGAACACACAGACGACTTCCTTTTAGGATAAGATGATGCTTCATTCACTAGCTTTTGTGGTAGGTGTGGCTTCCAATAGCTATTGATTGGCAGTTATATAAATCTGCATGTATATAGGATACTTTGCATAATTGTTTTAAATAGTGCTGTTATTCCTATACCCTGCAGAGCTCATCTTCTATTTTTCATTCAAAAGAATTGATCATTCTGAGGAGGAAAAAACAAACAAACAAACAAACTTAAAACCCTCTGCATTGTTTAGTGAAGCAAAGCAATGAGTAACAGGGAAATTTTGTTGGAAGTAGAAAGCTCCTGCCAGACCTAAGTGTTAAAGGTGGTGAGAAGTTTCTGTGGTATGTGAATCATTGAGTAGTGAGGAATGTTGGCTGAAGCGCTTTCTTTCATGAAACTTTCATTCTACTTTGTACTTCTGGTTTGTTCTTGGTGCCCATTTGCTACAAAGGTAAAAACCAACGTAATGTTTCTGGAAATTCAGAAAGAACACCAATGCTTTGGACTTGACATATATAATGTATTAGAGAGGGTATGTGTGTACATTATTCAGTATACTATGAAGATAGTAGAGAGAATAACAAAAAAATTGAGAACAGCGAAGGGACATGAACATCTGGAGGGATCTGATACAAGGTGCTACAGAGGCATGCAATGATTTTATCTTATTTGTAAAAAATAATAATCAGTAGTTAAGAAAAGATATCAAAAGTCAAGAAAAATCTCTTAAGTCAACCAGATGGCACTGACCTCAATATTGATTTGTTTATCAAGGTCTGGGACTTCAAGATACACCAACAAATAGATTATTAATGATAAATGATAAAGTACAGTTAACTCCTCATTGTTTAATTTGCGATACTTAGAGCATTTGCTGATCTCTCATACACAGCTCTTAAAACTGTGCTATCTAATATTATCTTTACTTGCCAAATGTGCCTATTGAAATTCAAATGAATTCAAAATACATAAAATTAAGAATAATTCAGTACTTCAGTGAGAGTAGCCACATTTCAAGTACTCAGTAGCTACATGTGGCTGGTGGCAACCATGTTAGATAGCCAAGAACACTTAGGCAGAAAATTCTATTCCATTGGATTGTATTATAGAAGTGTTTCTTTTGAATTCCTTGTCCTTGAAGAAAACGGAGGAGAAAGGAAAAGAATTTCTACCAAATGCACATATCCAAACATGTCTGATCACAGAGAGGCCCCATGGAGCAATGAGAGGAACACCAGCTGGCATGGCTCTGAGTCTCCACTATGTTATCTTGAGAAAAATTCCTTCAACTACCATGAGTCTCAGTTTACAATTTTTGGGGGGAAAAAAACTTTAGCCTGTCTTTCTTACAATATTATTTTGCAGACTGATTTAATGTACAGATGTACAGACTTTTAAAGCCCCTATAAAGCACATCTGTTAGTCCAGTACCAGCATAAATTTGCATTCAAAGGGAAAATAGTCCATCAATCCAAAAAGCATTCAAATAAATTAGACACATTTCTTGAGAAAGTGCAAAGCGGAATGCATTCAAAATACATAGGAAAGTTGCTTGAATTCCTTTTTTCTTTGCTCTTTTTTTTTTCTTTAGGTTTATTTATGTTTTTCCCAAGGGAGAGAGACAGGCATCCCTAAGAGTTTATGCCATAATCCTCCCCGCCTCCCCAGCCCTATAGCCAGCCAAGATGACAGCACACCTGGAAGATGCAATGAGACCCAGGTCAGGAACCCAGAGCCTTCCCGTGGGGTATCAGCAGCATGCCGTCCTGCCTGCACTACCACAGCTGGGCCTTTTTACTTGCCCATCTTAGTGTTTCATCTGATATTTGCACCGCGTGCCATCTGTCCCTATTTCTTCTCTCCCATGCCAAAGTTGCCTATGTGCATCCTTCAGCTGGCTCGGTTCTTTATTATTCCACGTACTCAGTAGCTACATGTGGCTGGTGGCAACCATGTTAGATAGCCAAGAACACTTAGGCAGAAAATTCTATTCCATTGGATTGTATTATAGAAGTGTTTCTTTTGAATTCCTTGTCCTTGAAGAAAACGGAGGAGAAAGGAAAAGAATTTCTACCAAATGCACATATCCAAACATGTCTGATCACAGAGAGGCCCCATGGAGCAATGAGAGGAACACCAGCTGGCATGGCTCTGAGTCTCCACTATGTTATCTTGAGAAAAATTCCTTCAACTACCATGAGTCTCAGTTTACAATTTTTTGGGGGAAAAAAACTTTAGCCTGTCTTTCTTACAATATTATTTTGCAGACTGATTTAATGTACAGATGTACAGACTTTTAAAGCCCCTATAAAGCACATCTGTTAGTCCAGTACCAGCATAAATTTGCATTCAAAGGGAAAATAGTCCATCAATCCAAAAAGCATTCAAATAAATTAGACACATTTCTTGAGAAAGTGCAAAGCGGAATGCATTCAAAATACATAGGAAAGTTGCTTGAATTCCTTTTTTCTTTGCTCTTTTTTTTTTCTTTAGGTTTATTTATGTTTTTCCCAAGGGAGAGAGACAGGCATCCCTAAGAGTTTATGCCATAATCCTCCCCGCCTCCCCAGCCCTATAGCCAGCCAAGATGACAGCACACCTGGAAGATGCAATGAGACCCAGGTCAGGAACCCAGAGCCTTCCCGTGGGGTATCAGCAGCATGCCGTCCTGCCTGCACTACCACAGCTGGGCCTTTTTACTTGCCCATCTTAGTGTTTCATCTGATATTTGCACCGCGTGCCATCTGTCCCTATTTCTTCTCTCCCATGCCAAAGTTGCCTATGTGCATCCTTCAGCTGGCTCGGTTCTTTATTACATAGAGTCACTTTGCTTCTGGAGTGTCTTCTGATTTCCTGTTTTAATCTTTACAGCAAAGAGAGGCCCAGAAGCTGGCCTAGAAGCTTCTCCTTAGAAGGCAATACCTCAAATATGAATAACTTCATAATTAGCCTGTATTACAAATGTAAGAGGCTGTGACATTAAAATAGAAAAATTTGCCAAGCCTAATTTGAAATGCAAAACTTTGCAAATGTAGTAATACTTTGGTAATGTAGTAGATATTATGCTAATATCCAGATGACAGATTTTTTTCAGACTAGTTTCATTTATCAGTTTTTGACAAAAAAAAAAAGAGTTATTTTTTCAAAAAGGAATATAAATCCAGTAATGTCCCTAGTATCTATTGCCCATTGAAGATAAGTATTGCTTGAATCTATACCTTGATTCATGATATGTTTATTCCATGATGAGAAATTGATATTTAAATCAGATTAACTGAGAAGTACATTCTGTGGTTGTGTTTTCTTCTGCCCGTGAAACACTCTCCTTTGCTTTGTATCCAGTCAGGCATTTTCCAGATGTTTCATTACCACGTGCTTTACTAATTCCAAAAAATTGCTCTTACTTTTCCTTTTCTCCTGACCTCTACTTTTGGGATTAACGTCTATATACCAGAATCATGGGAAGTTATACAATTCAACCTCTTCATTTTATAGATAAAGACAACTAAGGCTCAAAGAGATGTCGTAATTTCCCCAGTGTCCGACCTTAAAGCCTCTGTGTCGATTCTCATCACCTGCACTCCTTCGTCAGCAGTGAAGGCCGACCAGGCCTCTGAGAAGGCACTGGCCATCTCGGAACTAATTTTATTTGCTCTTTTCACTATCTGCTTCATCCTGTAACATGGAACATCGGAACTTTCTTCTTTTTCTATCACGTTGTTAAGAATAACAAAGGGACGTAAACATGTTGAAAACTCAGATAAATGGTGCTACAGAGGAATGTAATTATTTCATCTTAATTATTTATAAAAATGATATTCAGTCATTAGGCAAAGATATTGAAAGTCTAGAAAGGGCCAGCCAGTGGCCTGGTGGTTAGGGCTCTGGATCCCACATGGCCAACTGCACAGACCAGCCTTCTTCCTCTAGCTGTTTGCTACTTCTTAGTCTTAAGCATGATTTTCTAGCAACCAGAGATTTCAAGTTCTAGCTATGGCCATTTAAGTCAGCAGCACTATTTGTCTTTGCCGCTTACATTGTTCTGCCTTTGTTTTATTTTTTTTCCCCAAATGTACTTGAAAACTAATCATCTTTATAGCACATTTTCTTACCACACATGTAATCACAGTTTTTATTTATTCTTTAAACTGTTTGAACATTTCTATCCTAAGAAGGTTTTTGAGCAAACGGTGGTGCAAGGTTTGTGGCATTACCTATTATCTACTCATTATTACCGGGTGTTTTATAGCACTTTACATTGTACAGGGCACTTTGATTCATCCCTTTATCTATTCATTGATTTAGTCACTCAATTAAATATTTATCAGGCACCTACTGGAACCAAGTAATTGTGTGAGATTTTGTAGCATATAGCATAAAATACAAATAGCAAGAGTTCAGGCATGTAAACTGATCATTCCTATAATGATCAATTTTATAATGTTTGAGGAGGAAATATTCCAACACAACTTTGCAAGTATGTAGGATCAATATCACTTTATTGATCTCCAATTCCAATTTTCTATCCTACCTAAATGGGGGAATTATCAAGTATTTTCCCAAGGAATGTTTCTGGAATATGTTGCATGATTGCACCTCTGGGCTATTTGCTCTGTTTCAAATGATTGTTCATTTTACTGATGAGAATAGTCACTCAAAGTTGACCCTGACCCAGAAAGACTTTCCAGTCCTTTTGCATTTCTTACTGATCATTTGCAGTAGTTGATGTTTTACTGTCTTGCCCCTGTAGTTCTGCTGTGGCTTTTGGAATGATCAACAACATTGTTTTAAGGTATTCAGAAGCACCAGTGTATGGAAGAAGCATTTGCACTTTAGGTGTGTGTGATTGTTATTCATTTATCAGACCATCTCGGGGTTTTCTTAACCTCCTTGGCACTATTGACATTTTAGGTCTGATC